ACAAAAAAACGAAGTCCAGATGACATGATTCAACCTTTTTTGTTGTTTTCTTTTCTTTAGTTTGGTCTAGTTTAATTTAATAAAAGTAAAAGTGTAACTGTGTGAAGAGGTCAGTTTTGTGTGTGAGAAAGAGTCGACTTCCCACTAACGGCAAATCATCGATGACCTCAGGGTGCAGAAGTCCTCCCAGAGCGATGGCCACTCCTCCCAGCAGCCTGACGAGCTCCTTGTCACTGCAAACAGCCGGTTGCAGGTGTCTGGGGATGATCCCGTCCTTCTGCTGTCATGAGCCACGTTTCCTGCTAGTTCCAGGATCCCAGTGGTCAGGCACTCAAGCACAGCTGGCAGGGAGACGGGAATGCATCTACGGCGCCTCCTTTTCAACTCATTTGAGATTTGGGGCTGTAGCTGAGATATTATTCAATTCAATTCAAAAATACTTTATTAATCCCAGAGGGAAATTAAATAAAATTCTTTGAGCTTTTGAGATGTTAATCAGCTGCTCCCAGTGGTTAAAAAATAAAAACACCTTGTTGTTATGGTTATGCATCATAACAAATGACCAAAACTAAAAAAGTTTCTGTAAAAATACTTTCAGCTGCGCAGCATTCAATACCAGAGGAAACAGTCGTCACAAAAATGAGTTGCATCCAGAAAAAGAGGAATTAAAGTTTCCAAAAGCAAAATCTCAGAATGAAAGTAACAGAGCTGCTCCAACATGCAGCCACCTGGAGCAGCACAATTCAGCTCATGTTACGTTGTCAAGTTATGTGCACAAAGACATTACCAATATTTAGGGATGTGCATTTGAAGCTAAAATGCAAGTTGTACGGTAATATTTAAAATGTTCAAAAATTTAATTGATTTTAACGTTGACATTTGGATGTTTGTATTTTGTTTGCTGAGTTCACCCATGACGATAATTTAATTTTAGTTTGAAATAGACTTTAAATATTTAATAAATCACTGTCCATGCCTACTAATAATATAAAATTCAACTTTCATAAAAAGTAATTTACAGATCTGATAAGCTAAATGTACAATGATGAGTATAAATGTATAATTCTTTACACAAGTGTTTTTTTTTTTTTTTTTTGTTTCCACCTGCAGTTGTGATTCCTCTCACTGACTCGGAGCACAAAATGCTGCCTCTGCACTTCGCTGTGGATCCCGGGAAGGACTGGGAATGGGGAAAAGACGACATGGATAACGTAATGCTGGCAAGGTAGAACAAAAATAAAGAAGTTCATAGATGGATCACAACGATAAGAATAAAGTTGTCCCGTGTTTGTGAACGTGAGGAATGTGTGGCAGACAGCTGTCCTTGTAGTGTCAGCATGCAGGGATTAATCCCTGATTCCAGATTAGCCACACTCGCTGCCAGTGACAATAAGATTAGCTCAAAATACTTTGTGTGAATGAACCAAGAGAGCAAGCACTAAAAATAGCAGCGATGAGTGAAATGACAACCTCCTTATTCATCGCAGCAGCTGATGATGGTTTTGTTTGAATAAAATGGTTTGCAGAAATGCTCTTACACAAGTGGCTGCTAACATTGTTTCTAAAGGTCACGGAGCTGAAAGTCCTGCACAACGTGACGCTCGGAATACATTTTCTGTTTACTGCAACGCTCACAGCTAATGTAGTGGATTTTTTTTTTTACTGCAGATTGTTTTAGTTTTATTTCTAGCCTGTATTTGTGATAAAACAAACATTATTCTATGAAAAGCTTTCTTTACACTCTAAAGGTTGAGTCGGGTCCTCTGAACAGATTCTTCTGAAAGACTGAAGACGTCTTTTGGATAAAAGACAAAACGTTTCAGCAAAGAAGAACCCGTCCAGAGGACCTGATTTATTTACCTGGATAATTCTGTCACAATACAGTATATTTTATCTTGTTTCAAACAAACTGTAACCTTCCAACAATGTTCAGCCAGGTCGTCTGTACGGTTTCTTTTTTTTGCTGAGACGTTTCGTCCTTCGTCCAAAGGACTTCTTCAGTCTGAGGAACCACCAAAACAAACTGATTCCCACAAACAGCACATTCCATAGTGGGGGGAAAAAACAATTTTCTGGTGCTAAGATGGCCACCAGAGCCCACCCTCTCCCCCATCAGAGACAGTTATACCAAAGTGGTTCAAAACACCCAAGTTCATGCTCAATAATCCAGGTATAAAATCCAACAATGTTAGTCAGATCATTTGGATGGTTTCTTTTTTTTGCTGAGACATTTCATCCTTCATTCAAAGGCCTGTAACCTTATTAAAGTAGCTTCTGAAATCTGATTAAATCTGCATTTTTTTAAGGTTAGTTTTCATAGTTAAACTTGTTTTCATGGTTTAAATGCAGACATTTTGTATGAGTTTATTCAGACTTTGTTACAATTGAAAATATTCAATAATTGTTTTACTGTTGGCACCTAAATCCTTGGCAGAGAGACTTCTCATCCAGAACTTTTCCCTGTTTTGTCTTCACCCAGTGTGGCTCTTTCTTTGGAGGCCAAGCTGCAGATGTTGCACACTTACATGACGGTTACCTGGCTGCCGCTGCCGTGTGAGGTAAATCATGAAGTCACTGTGGGCGATCGTTGTCCTCGTAAACCAGGATAGATTTTGAGGTTAGGGCGACTTTGAACAATCTGGAACAATACGAGTAACATGAAGGTAGTTAAAAAACTTAAATTACACACAAATCAACTAGACATCTGTAGCTGAAGTTTGTAAGATCTGACCCTTCCTTGAACAAGCTGGACTGTATCAAAGTGCATCTCTTCATGTCCCTTTCGTGCTTTCAAAGTCGTGTGGATGCAAACGTGTGTGGTTGTGTTTCACGTTCTGTCGGCTCACTCCAGCAAAGGTTTTCTTGTGTCCCGCGTGCTGGCTTAAAGCTTCACCGTCATGTTGCTGGTGACAGTTCAAAGATTTTTATGTTAAAGTAATTTAGGTTTTCTGAGCTGGGACTGTTGGGGGACTGTGTAAAGTTGGGGGACTGTGTAAAGTTGGGGACTGTGTAAAGTTGG